ACGGAGTTGACGGGGCAGGAATGCCTTCAGGAATGAAAGGAACATCCCTGGTTGCATACTCAGGAACCTCGCCGTCGACTGTTCGCAGGGCGCCATCGGCAGCTGTCGCGATCCGGAAAACAGGATCGCCTTCCTCGACAAACAACTCAGGTTCGGGCACATCATGGGCAGTAACATTTCCATTGGACCTGAAACTTTGGTAGTCCATAACTTTTAGCACCCTTCGATGTCGCATCCCTGGATCGATACGCCAACCTAGAAACAAGCCTGGAGCCACTCTTTCCAGCTGACTTTAGGCGATACCAAACGAGTTGTCCGAAGCAACAGCGGACTCCATCGAACTTCTCCTTGGTGAGTGCCTCCCATTGCGTCTTTGTTGGATCGAACGTGGACGGTCGGTCGAAAGACATCGATAGGCATGCAAAGGGGCGCAGGGAGTAGGGCAAACCTGGTTGGTGGTGTATGCTCCTGCAACATTCCTTCTCGTCTCGGACATCTCGCTGAGTTATGTGGCCCACCTTTAGGCGCAGGACCAGCTGGGGCGCCGCCTGTATCCTGCCCTTGCTTCCCTTTCTTCTCAGCTTTTCTTGTTCTTCTTCTTCTCCTTCTTGGTCTCTGCGCTGGTAGCTGCTTCCTTGCCCGTGCAGCTTAACATCTTGATCAAACTCACCACGGTTGCGCTTTTGCTGGGCAAGCTCTATGGCCAGATCTGCCTTCGCCCAAAGACATGCACAGGCGCGGCGGTGACTATCATGGGCGGACTCATGGGCCTTCCCAACGCGACGCTTCATTATGGGACACTTCTTAAACTCGCCGATGAGATGATTGAACAGGGTCCGTTCCTTGAAGAGCTCATCAAGAGGTATCGCACGGAGAATATAGTTGTACTTCTCCCGAAAGGCCTCGATGTCTGCTACTGACTGACCGGCAAGTTTCAACCCAAGAAGATTGCGTTCTCCAAGGACGCCGATCCGGTCGCGCTCCAGTTGAAAGCGCTTGAAGATCGATCGCAACATCACGCGCCCATTGGGCATTGCACCTGCGGTATTCCGTTCGTTCCCCAACATGTTTTGGAACAACAACCCAAGCTTGCCTTTGCGACAGGCCTTCAACCGCTTGGCGGCTATCTCACGGGTTGTGCGTGGGAAACGTTTATCAGCTTTGAGTTGTTCCTCGGATGAGGTCAAACAGTCCTGGCCCACAAATAGAGCTTGACGTCGGTCGTCTTTTGCAAACGTCCAATGGCCATGAGGACCTGATTCACGTATCCACACGCCTGACCGGCGTTCTGGCGGAAGCGGAAGCACTAAATCCTTAAGGTCCTTGATGCGGACCACGGTTTCCTCATACGAGGCCGGATCTGATGCGCTTGTAGCAGGCGGTATCATCATGCGGGCCACCACAGACTCGGCATGAAGAGGGCTATGACCCTCGTCACCGGATTCTGAGTGAGGATGCGTCGGCCTCCGAGGGTGCGAGTGGAGAGAATAGGAATTGAGCCACTTGACTTGTACTTGAACTTGTTCGCCTAAGCGCGGGAACAGCAGTTGTGTTCTGTGCAGCTACGGTACGGAAGGCCGGGGTGCCTGAGCCGATGCGATCGGGAACGAAGCCCCTGATACCCCTACCTGGGCAACAGCTAACTTTGAAAGTTGATGAACCAGCTCAGTTAAAAAGGACATTTGTGCCTGGACGTCTCCAGGTCGCCTTACATCCTGAGTCCGAGCGACATCCGGTTGCGCACGTGAATCACCATCCTGGATTTGCGCACGCTTGGCATCGATGTCGGGCTGCGGGATTTTGGGAAACCAACAGGGGCGTGGCGCTAGTTTAGGGTCACTCTTGAACTACCCGATGCGTCTAGAGCTGCATTTGCTGCTCGCGTGTGGCATCACTAGGCCCTTGAACTTGGGGAGCCTGTGATTCAACCTGGAGGTCACGTCCAATGACATTTTGCCCCGAAAACCCGGGATCTGTAGGATTTTGACTTGCATTTCATGACTTTCATCCGGAGTGGCCGGAACATTTTGTGCCATGGATGCGACAGCCCTTTCTAGGTCAGCAAGGCGTTGCGACAACAAAAGGTTTTCGCTACCTAATGTATCTACCGTTTTACTTCGCTGGAGGATCGTCTGGTGCCGTGAGGAAATTTCCTGAATTGCCTCCTGCCTCAACCTTAACACTTCGGCTTCTGCGGCCGACCTTGTTTGTTGCGCTTCATGCCTAGCACGTTCAACATGGCTTGCGGCTTCCTGTCTTAACAGATGCATGGCCTTGGGCTTCCTGTTGAGAATGCTGCGCAGCTTGTTCAGCTAATGCGGTCTGAGCACAAGCTTGTTCGACTGCTTGCTGGGCTTGCTTTGTCAGCTCCGTTGCCTGTTGTCTAAAGGTCTGTCCCCTTTGTTGCGCGACAGCTGCAACCTCCCCTAGCCTGTGTTCCGCGGCCCGATGCTCGTGGAGAGCAACGTTGGCAGCCTGGTCAGCAATGAGCGAAGCTTGATGCGCACGTTGCAACGCCGATCCGGCCACAAAAGCGCCAGCACTCATGTCCCGAGGTCGGGAGCAGGCACTGAATCAGGTTCCTCTACTATGGGAGTCCTACGGGGAGGAGTCGCACTGCGATCGCGGCTACGAACATCTAGCTTGATGGGGATGCCATAAAACCTACACAAACTACGGACATTGCAGGTACCGAAATATCACCGAGTTCAGGGTCTTCCTCGTTAGACTCTGCCCCAGGGGTTGACATCCGACGGTGGGGAAATCCCTGACGCCATACCGGAAGCACCTTTCACAGGAGGTCAGGCTCGCGTGTGCTGACACACCGCGCTTCGAGCTGCGGCCGTGTGGAAACTTATTATACAACCGGTGTTGAAAACCGGTGCACCTGCTGCGCTTGAGCTGCAGCCTCCGGCGACGAAAAAGCCCGTGGCCGCCTTGCGGAATGGGGGCGGCGGCCAACTTCTTCGAGGTACTCAAATTAATCGAGCACTCACCGGCAATTGTGGGACCGGGGCAGCTTTGCACCTCGCCTGTGGCGGTGGCGAGGGTGGGGCCCGCTTGTAATTGGACTTCGGCGGCGTCGCAGGTTGCTTCACCCCACTAATCGATCTTGGGACCGATGCTGCGCGTTGAGCTGCAGTTCAAGGCACTGGTGCTGGGGGCGCAGGTCGTGACCTCAACGCCGGAGGCCGATGAATCGCGTCCGGCAGGCGCTGGCCTTTTGATGTTCACCTGCTCAGCTTCGTGCATCCGGTCGGAGTTGAAAGCCGCAAGACCTGCGAATACGGCGTGGGCCATTCGCTCCGGTGGTGGCGAAGCGCTCAGGTCGTAGCGCACGGCTCTCCCCGACTGTTGTCGTTGGGGAGTATTGTACGGAGATCCCGTTCTCGGAGGCCTGTGCCAGTAGGAATCCGGCAGCTTGTAGGGATCGCCCGAAGGCGGCGGATGCGGACTTGGTCTTGGGGCGCCTTTGTACCGATGCTGCAAGATCCAAATCCCTGCGCTGTTAACTCTTGTTGTGGGATAAGCACAGTTGGCCGGCGCGAGGATGAGAGGTCTGCTGCTCAAGGATGCACGGGCAGGAGGCGACGGGGCGCGGTCTCCTCGACCTCGACCTCGCTGCGTTTCTGGCTGCAGCCCTACCAAGCGGTGTCCTGGATCTCTGGCGCTGCTGACGCCTTCGGCGCGGAGGCAGGTTGATGCCTTTCCGCTGGTTTTTTCGTGATGAAGATCTCCCCACAGCTTCATACCTCCTCCCGCCCGATGGTGGGTAGGAGGAGGGCCGACGGGGCTGACTGCCAGATGAGGCCCTTCGCGCTTGGAGCTGCAGCCTGATTTGTCGGCCCTGTTGCTGCTTGTGCTACCGCTGCGCTTGGAGCTGCAGCCTTGTCGGTAGACACGGTTGTCGTTGACGACGGACTTGATGGGGTGTCAGGTTGCGCTGGCTGAGCCGGTGTGCTGGCCTGCCCTGCCGCGCCTTGAGCTGCGGCCTGCGCCCGTTGCAGGATAGGCGGCGTTCGGTGACGGCCTAGGGCAATGGCGGCGTCGCACAGGTCCGGGTACGCGTCCTTGAGGTGCCCGTAACTGCTGTCCGTGAAGTCGGCGTGCCACGCCAGGAGGGAGCTTCGATGCAAGTCCGAAGCGTCCTCCCAGGCGACACGCTCGACTCCAATGGCAAACTTCTGCCTTGCCCTGCGGGTGCGAAGGCCTCGTAGTAGAGCTTCCTCCAATGCGTCCAACCTCCACGTTGCCCTCTGGCCGAAAAGGCCGGAGCCGGGTTCATGCACGAGGTGCACTAACTTACCGGACCGAAGGGGCCTAATCCCAAAAAGCAGTTACGGCTGATAACCACTCAACAGGGAAAGAAACACAGCGAACCGGAAACCGGGACCCTTATTAACCCCAGTCCGGTAAGTGAGCGCTGACCCTGGCTTTTTGATGGGCATTGGTCTTGAGCCAAACGGTCATTGCCGTCCGACAGTCGATACAACTTGTACATGCTGACATCAAGGTGCCTCATCCAATGCATGCCATTGGGTACCTCTTTGGGGGCCTAGAGGTCGTGAATTCTCAACTTTCAGAAGCTGAATTGAGATGCATAACATTAGGCTGAAAGGTGCTTGCGAGGAAAAGCGTGAAAAAGGAAACAGCAAGAAGATGTGGCAGGTTCTGACATGTTCACCTGAAGTAAAAACTTGGATTTGCTGCTCTCTTCTGACTGCCAGCCTCTTTCATGGCGGCTAGGGCCAAACGGACCTCCGCTAGATAGAGCGCGCCTAAGCGATTGGACAACCCAACTGAGCTGCGCCAGCCAACCTGCAAGGCCGGACCCAGCGCGGAAGGTATTGTGGGAGGCGTCATACCTGGCACCGGCCCGGCCGCTTTCTGACTTGGACAAATTCGCCATGCCAGCTCCACTTTGGTAACCAGCCTGCGCGGGACGGCACAAAGCAGAGTCAAAGCAAGACTTTGTGTGGCAAAGAGGCACAAGCCTTTTTGCGCCAAGGCAGTCAACTGCTCGAGAAGTCTCGCAGATATTGAATGCTTGGCCAATCCTGATGGCTTGCCAGCCGCTCTTCTCGTTCACGGCCCTGTTTTTGAGCCATGAAGCTAAGGGTTCATTGGCTCATCTGCATCACTCCGAGCCTCAGTCTCCCAGGATCCAAAGTCAATAGCTGAGCCTATGTGATGCAAGCTGCTTTTGGCGCCGGTAGCGTTGCCAGCAAGCTGGAGATCCTGGCCACTTTTGGACTTTACCTCTCTTGAAAAGCAAGCAGAAGACTTCCTTGCTGCTTTCAGCGGAGGCCCTGTCGGCGCCGGCAGGGTCCCGAGCAAGCTGGAGATCCTGGCTCCCATCACGTCTGCAACTTCACACTTCACCGCCATTGACGAGAAAACACAAACTCGGCCTCGGGGCTTCCGGGGACCCTGTCGGCTCTGGCAGCATGGCTGGGTCTATCCTGGCGGGGTTTGCACGTCCCACCGGTGCCCGCATTGGCCGAAAAAGACAATCTCCGCCTTGGGGGCTCCGCGAGAGACCCTGTCGGTGCTGGCAGCATCACTGGCGGGTTCAAGATCCTGACGCATTTTCTCACCCACTGCACCCCCGTTGGCTGAAATGATTGAAACTCGGCCTCGGGGCTTTCAGCGGAGGTCCAGCATCTGCAAGCAAGACTATGGAGGGTTGTCTGTTTTTGCTGACCTTATCGCCTGTTCTTGGTTGGTAGTTGCTGGTTTATTCTTGCTATTCCTTTTGCTGTTGATGCTGTTGCTGTTGTTTAGTCGGCATGATGGAAAATAGCTGGCCTTCTCCGAACAGCGGACATCTAGGAAACTTTGAATTTGCAACTAAATATCCTTGATGAAGAGCTTTTTCGCAAGGCTGGAGACATGAACGACCTTCCTGCAATATGAACCCCTTTTCCGGACAAGCTTGTTCATGCTTTGGGTGGTTCTTGTGCTATCCGCAGTTGCCTGACAAATATCCATTCACTGCCAACTCGACATATGGCTCAAGCCTGCTTCAATGTTCAATAGTACGCAGTCTTCCAAGAATAGCGAACTTCAGCTAGCTTGTATTGTCCATGGGTATACACATTTATCTTGCTTCGCCAGACACTTGTATTTCTATATTATATATAGAAATTATGTGTATCTCTCTTATTCTGTGTCTGGCACAGTTCTTGATCCCAAAGTGGTAGCGCAGCAGTCTGGAAGGACAATGACCGATTCACTGTTCGATGGCTGTGTTATCTCTGGCTTCAGGCCTTGGTGAGGTGCGATGCGCCGGAACAAGAGCATCGCTTTGTGGGGTCATCGTGTTACAGAGAAAGCCAAAGTTAGCCATAGCTTTCATAGCTTTCCCTGTGCTCGCAGCCAGCAGGCAACGATGCCCGACACAGCAGGCTTGGTGCGGCAAATTGGCTCATGGGCTAGGATTATTGCTGAAGAGTATCTTGAGTGCATGGTTCAGGCAGCTTCTGGGCAGCGTTGGGGTATCGTTCGGACACATGTTTTTGTCTGGGACACCCCCGGTAGTGTTTTGGTGGCTTGTTGAGTTCCGGTTGTGTTGGGGTCATGTTCCATTGGTGTCCCAGTAGCAGTTTGGTAGTGTGTCGGTGGTTTCTGGTGGTGTTTTGTTATTGTTTGGGGGGCTCGCTGGGGTTTTGTGTTTAGGTGTTGTTCCACTCTTTTGGTGGTGCCCTGGTGACGCGTTTCTGGTGCCTGTTTTTTGGCGTGTCCCGGCAGCGTTTCGCTATTGTGGTTGATTTTAGTTTGTCTCGGTGGTTGCGTTTTTGGTTCGTCTCTCCACCTCAAGTTCCCCGCCTTCCTCAAGTTCCTCGCCTCCGTCACCTTCCTCATCTTCCCGCATTTTGTTTTGCTTGCCTTCCTCTCCTTTGCCTTCACCTTCCTCAGCTTTCTCAGCTTCCCCTTTCTTGCCTTCCTCGCTTCTCTCGGCTCGGACGTCCTCGCCTTTGCCTCCTTCTGCCTGGCACCCGCAAAGTAAACGATATACATGACGGCACAAAGCAAAGCGCATCACCTGGCCTTGCCCCAACCATTGCCGGGCCCATGGCCATGCATGTCAGAGCCGTTGACGCCATACCCTTCATCCTTCCCTTTGTCCTTCCCCCTGTCCTTCCCCTCCTTCCCCTTGCCCTTGTCCTTGCCCTTGTCCTTGCCCTTGTCCTTGCCCTTGTCCTTGCCCTTTCCTTTGCCTGGCACGAGCTCGTGTCCAAACCGCCGCGAGCTCTCAGCCCACGCCTTTCTTCCCCTTCATGGGCAATCCCACCGGCGCTTTATGTCCTGGGAGCGCTACCCCCAACAAAGATCCAGAGCTCAACTCCTGCCTGTCGGCTCAACTTTGCAGCCCTCGTGAATGAGTCTTTGCAGGATCTTGGCCAAGTTGCTGACGTCATCCATGCCTGCAAAAGGAGGGGTCAAAAGCGAATGTCCGAGTCAGGCTTGCCGCTTGCCGCTTGCCCGGCCTAAGTGGTGCTGCCCTGAGAGCGGTATCCTGACAAAGCTCTCCGACACATGTCCCAAGCAGATTTTTTTTCTGAGGGCAATGGTCTTCATGTCGCCTCATGAGCTTCAGCATGCCCCGCATTCCAGTGGGAGCTGCCGAATCAGGCAGCTTGTAGAAGTCTCTGTAGACCTCAGATTATGTCAAGCCTCCCCGAAGGGATCAGCATTCGGTTTCATTCGGTTTCATTCGGTTTCATGGGCCTCCTTCAAGTTGCTCCACCGCGAGAACAGCAGCTGCTGCAGCGAGTAATCCACAGTTCCTGGGTATGTTCCTTTGCCCCCTCAAGCACAAAAGTGCTCAAATCCTGGCAAAAAGTGGCCTGGTACTGGATTGCTGCATTGCCGCGGTATGGCGGACTTCACCTTGGGCACTCTTTGCACTCCCTCCTGCATCTCCCACCTGCAACTCCCACCTGCAACTCTAAACTTTTCAGCCTTTGGACCTTCGAACATATTGTCCAGACAAGAGTCATCCCAGTTGCCGCAAGTCACGAACAGAAAGTCCTCACTCCTGCGAAGATCCAAAATGCCTTGATAGGACATGAGTGATTGGAGGAATACCGGCCTGAGCTCTTCCCCGGGGGCCAACTTGAGCAAGTCCCGCAGCCAGTTCTGTATGGCAAAAACCACCTGAAGGGACAGATCTGAGTCATTCTGAGTCACTGCACCCAAGTTCCGAGCCTCCGGGAAAGGCACCGAGCTTGCCCCATTGTTGAAGCATCCAGCATGAAAGCGATTGCGCATAGACCACTCCTTCCGAAATTCCAACGAAAGTCACACATACAAATACACAACGTCCGGCCTCCCTCGTCCAGTATCCGGGCCGTGCAAAGCGATGAAATCGGCCACATTCTTTCCTCTGACCGCACCCGTGAGCCTTTTTCAAAAGTAAAGCTTCCTTTTGCGTCTGACTACTTGCCTGCGCATCCACGAAGAGCGACTGCCAAAGCCTTAACTCATTCCAAACGCCCGCCAAGGCACCCCGTGGAAGAGCACATGGAGAGAATGGGCACCTGGCACCCAAATTCTTCCATGCTCAGCAACAAAAGCGCACACCTCGATGATCTCATCCTCGCCATCCCGACCGTCCTCACCCAGCTGGGGTGCTGACCGAATACAAGAGGCGGCAATAGTCCGCACCTTGTTGCCACCACCTTCTAAGTCCAGCAACAGAAGCAATGGCCTGCACACACAAACATCTCAGCGAAATGTCATGAAGCTCCGAGAAGCTCTCACCAAGCTGCTCTTGGCGCCTGGAAGGCTGGACGACGCCGCTGGGGCCCTGTGCCACCCAGTCTGCCTCCGCCTTCAGCGCGGCATCTGTGCTGTGCAGCCTTAGAGACGCGAAACCGCGACGCCTCCCACAGCTTCTCTGTCGAGCTCCGGGCCCGTTTCGGCAGCCCCCCGAGGCATCTGGACGGTTGCGGCAAAAGCCCGCGGCATACCTGTACTTGCATGGGTTGTGACGTATAGCACCCACACGGATCACTTTCATAAATAATGCCTATATTAACTAGGTACAAACAATGTCAGTCAGATGGGAGACCAACATTGGAGTGTCATCAAACACATGCTGATGCGATGATGCTCCTGAAAAACCTCAGCGCCAAGCCATTTGCAGATACCCACTTGAAATCCAGCACCTCTCGACAAAGGCACACTAGGAAGTTGCCCTGATCTCTTCTTTATTTGAGCGCTGCACGTCCTCCGGCACCTTCACCCACCAAATCGCTTGACAAGTTCGTAGGTGTTCCCTTTCCTTGGCCCAATTGGCCATGCCCAAGCGAGCTTGAAGCTAGGGGCAAGTAAGGGCCGCTCTCTGGCCCTTTCCTTTGCCTTTCCGCCCACCCCGATCCTGATCGGCCATCGCAGAAGACACAAACTCCTGGAGTAGCGCTTTGGCCTCAAGATGAGATGCTTGAGATATCTGACATATCAAGAGCCCGCCTTCTCGACCACGTCTGTTGCGCCACTGATCAAGCAACGGCGGGTGAGAGCCAGGTATCCTGAGATGCAAAATTGAGGACATCTCCTGTCCCTGGCACTCCTTGCCTGGTTGGTAATCCTCCTGCGCAAAAGACATCCGGGCCCCAGACCTTTGGTCAGGAAAGCAAAAGAACAAAACTAGATTCTGAATGCCCTGCTCTCCAGGTGCCCTTGCTCCGCAGCTAGCTGCTTGATGACTGCGCCACCAGACCCGATCACAGCCCCAATCACCTTCCGCCATTCGGGTATTTCTCGTTTCTTCACAGCCTCCCGCCTGCACCGGCACCTCCACTGAATCCGTGATGGACACTTTGGAGACCTCTTGCCCCGCATTCCCCGGATAAGTGCCTTTCCTTGCCACGCCAATCTCACCACCTCACCGAGCCTCGAGCCTCACCCCCAAAGCCGTGCTCATTGGCTCTAAGAGTCTGGCCATGGCCCCGGGCGCCTCTCCGCGCGCCTCCCGGGCCTGCCGCTCCGCAAGCTCAGCCCGCAGACCTGACAAGCCGAGCTAACATCACATTGAAAGAATACAAGCCGAACAAAAAACAAATGTTGAGAGTTACCAGGACCCAGGCTTTCCAATTTCTCCTCGTCGTCATCCAGCTCTGCCTGTGCAGCCGCATTTGCAGTCGAAACTGTGTTTGGTTTACAGCCTCCAGGATGGCTGCAGCTAGCTCGTTTGAGTCCTCACGCGCAGCCCAAGCTCAGTTAAAAAATATTAAAAAATGCTCTCTTTGAGCAGACTGCCCTCCCCACCCCCCAGCGGTCCAGCGCGTGCATGCCAGATTCTGGCTGTGCAGCTGGTGGAATCCTGCCTGAGCTCATGGCCCGGTTAAAAGACGCATACCCGCAACAAAGGATGCAGCCAATTTGCGTTTTGGAGAGCTTGCACCAATGCCATCAGGCTCCTACTAAGCACATGCAACTTTCCCCTCACACTGCCTGAGCCAATACTTCACTGCAATATTCACAAGCACAAGGACTGTTCGGGTATCAGGTACATGTCGCGTTGGTAGCTCCCGGAAAGAGCAACGGCAGGCAGCACCCCCGACGGATGCTTGCGGGTAGGATCGTCTACCACGAGGAGCTCGATCCATTCCTTCGGATCGAAACCAAAAGGCCGACCCTCCAACGCCCATCCGACGGCTCTCCGACGGCTCGGATCGCCGCCTGAGACCAAGGGGCTGGATCTTTCCTGCGCCGACGGTTGCCGACGCCCCGACCGTTGCGCGGGGCAAACGTTTCGCGCATCACGTGGCGCGGCCTGGACTTCCAAGCCACTGTGACACCATTCTCCTTCTGCTGCAGGAGCAAGGACCTATGTCGAGCTGACATGCGAAAGCTCGGGTCCCAAATCTCGGTGCCAGGCATACTGCTGAGCAAGTTCATTTGTTTGAAGAAATGAAACAAGAGGTCTTGCACCTCAGCCGAAGCCACCAATACTCAATCCACGTTGGAATACACTTCTTGGGCCGCGGCTGATGCATTCTTCGGACGCTGCATTGCAAATTGTAGTGCCTGAAAGACTCTGATAGACCCATCGGCGTGGTAATGCTCAGTATCGCCAAGGCCAAGTTGCGGTATAGGCCCAAGCAAACGATGGAAGTCCACCCTGCCAAAGGAAAATATGTGTAAGCCGCCCAAGCTAGCAATTGAAGCCTCTGAGCCAACTGGAAGACCGCGCTGCCGCAACCAATACCTCATTGAATCATTGCACTTCTATGCACAAGCCCCACACTCGGACTTGGCATTGGCTGCCCTGCAACAGGTCCCGTGCTTTACCAGTCGGATGAAACTCTTCACCTCCGGGCGACCTGGTGGCTTGAGCTAAGAGAATGCCGGGAATCCGTCGAATCTCGAACATTCATGATCCGAAGTTGACCAAACTCAACAGCCCTGCCTTCCAAGGCCTCTGCCAGCAACTTACGATGGTCAAGAGCATGCAACTGATCCACGACCACCTCAAACAGCTCCGTCGACATGCAAGTCCCATGGACATCGGTCGGGAATCGCACGTCGCATGACAAGCCAGCACGATCGTGGAGCCGCAGAACCGGGACTTTCCTCGCGCCAATGGATCGAGGTGAACAAATGAACGCCTGAAGGCCAGGCCAGGCCTAGCTTCCACCAGCTCCAGGCGACTCCAGTGACGCTCTGCCTGCACAAGTTGTTTCCTAAGGTCTCTCAAGACTCTCACGGCTTCAAGGAGCTTGAGGGCAAATCCCCAGCATCCCTCCTTGCTTTGGCTCTCCAGCTTGGCAACCAAAGCCTGAAGCAGCACCAGTGCCTGTGCAGCTGTGAATCCAGGCTGCAGCTTTCAACATGATGCATCCCAGAAACAAGCTGTTTTATGTTTTTGAACAGCACTGACTGCTCCTGAGACGGGGTTGAGCTCGACGACGGTGTAACGAGGACCTGTGAGCAATGCGCCAAAGTTAGACTCGTGGCATGAGGCGCCCACCAAATCCAAGTCAGACTGCGGAACTTCACCACCCCAGGCTGTGCTTCCAACCACCTCATGTCAGCAGCTGATTGAGCAAGAGCCATACCGAAAGCCAGAAAGCACGTGCTCCCTTTATGGACGCACTAGGATCATGCTAGTTGGAGCATGCCGAAACACACAGTACCACGAAGCGTGAGACTGGCATGCACCTCAACAATGCTTCCTTCCAGCACGTCGCCAGACAGGCAAGCCTCAAGGCAAGCCTCAAGGCCGGCAAATACATGCAGGTCGAGCGAGGGCTGACGGCAGCGCCTCAATGCAGCGTTTTAGCTGCTCCCGTTGCGGCCGCATGGCATCCACCTGCACGCGGGCGGAACTCATTGGCGCTCAGGACGTTTGCCCTGGCCTTCTTGTCAACAAGTGCTGCAATAGCTGCGACCTGCACAAGAGCACAAAGCCAACACAAAAGAAATCAGAATCCCTGCCGTCTGGGTCACAGCATCACCTCAGACCGTGGCTTTGCAACTTGCCTGCCAACGCTTGAGAAACGGGCCTGTTGACTTGGGCTCCTGACAACACAAGTCGCCAGTGCATGTCGCTTTGGTGACGCTTACACGAGTTTCAAAAGCAGAATCAAAAAGGACGTGGAAAAGTATGACAAGAGTTCAAACACCACCTGAAGTAATCCTCTCTATTCTCTGATTCCCTTGACTTTCCTGCCTCCAGCGCATCTTGCGCTGCTCCTGTCCACAAGAACAAAGCGAACTTTCTCAGAAGTTCATCGTCAAACTCCTCACAATACCTGGATTTCCGCGAGCATGATGCTTGAATTTGCTTGGGCCTGTCCTTGTGAATTCGTAGGGAGCTGCTTGGAAGCTGCCTGCCAGTGTGATGTGTCTCGTTCAAGGCTGTCAAGATCCAATCCATGTTTCCAAGCTGCCTGTAACGACGGGTACTCCACCTTCGAAGTGCTACCGGGCAAGCCTTTGTCCACGGGCACTGGGACCTGCGCCAAGTCTCTCGAGTTCCACAGCTTCGTCGGAAATGCCACAAACCTCCGCCAAAAAGTACGCGGCAGTGGGCTTACCTTGCAAAACACATGCGGCAAATGAAAGGCTGGTACTGACTCAGCGCGAGGCGAGTTGAACCACCAGGTCGCTGATCAGTAAATCGTTTTTTGGATTTCCCCTAGCAGCACAGCGCAATTCACACGGGAATCGCTGGGACATACAAGACTGCCAAGGTCCCCAACCATTCCGGCGGCTTTGCCAGCCGACATGGGAAGCTCGGTGGATCTTCACTGCCAGCTGCTTGCAAGATGCATATGAGATTAACATGTCATTCTAGCAAGATGTTGTTGAATTCTTGTCAACGCACATCGGTTTTGACAAAATGAAACGGATATGAGCGAAAGCATCGGTGCAAACCCAGTTGTTAGCAATGCCTGAAGAGCTCAAGTCAGCCTTGCCGCGCGTCCAGCCGAGAATGTTTGTGGGAAAGATTGCCACTCGTTTGGCGATGTCACATTTCGTCAGAAAGGTGGGCAAAAAATTACGTTGCATTCAGGTTCCTCACCATGGCAAAGAATGGCCGTCATAGAATAACCAACGGCACATGGACAACACATGCCAATTCACCAAGCGTTTGGCCCTGAATTCAGTGGAAGGATCCCAGCAAACCCGCGACATGCCCACATCATTGCTTCAAAGATCCGTGGCATTTTGTTGCATGCCGCCAAACCTGTGCCAATGTGAAACATCGATGCAGCTACGTGCTTATTTTGCCCAAAACAGTTCTAGCAGCAATGCAATTGCCCGATTGGAAATACGTGCACACACTCTAAGCACGAATTGCTAGAAACAAAATGTTTGGCTCGGCAAAAAGGCAAGCCATCCAACTGTGTAGCTGCCCGAAATATCATTGTTTGAGTTTGCGAAAACAATCGCGATTGCCCGCTGCTGTTTCCAAAAAAATAACTCACCCATCAGCACGAACCTTGTCTCGCAGAACCGTCAACCAAAACATGTTCATGTTGTGCTGAAACGGTTGCTTTATTTTGCCCACCACGAGCGATGCAAATGCGAAGCAAGGCATCACGTTATCAGAAAAAGGTTGCTTCATCGCGGACGCACTCGGCAATGTGGTTGCCTCATGTTCAACTGCTTGCCTGCTGCAAACCAAGCTACAGCCAACCTGGGCTGCTGTTGCAGCAACGGCCCACAAACACACTCGCAAAACAGTCGGAATCCAAATGGCACCGTGCATGCTAATATGCAGAAGACCAAACTACGGACAAACAAATTATACAAACCAGCATCGACCCCGAAGCGCGGTGCAAAAAAAAGAAACAACCCACTGGGTTCTTTACGTGCTGACCAGCCATAAGGGTCCGAGTCACCAAGCACAAGCTTGGAGACAGGTAGGGAAGAGACAAGTGGGGAAACAGCAGGGGCACCAGGGGCAAACCATCCACCAGATGTTTGCGGGCTCGCAGCTTGACAACATAACAGCGAACCGCATTTGCTTCCTGAGGCATCTGAAGTTAGGACACACCTTGCCAATTTTTGTCACCATCCTAGGGAAGCCCCCCCCCACGCCAAACAGTTCATTTTAAGCCCAAATCATCTTATCTCATTTCACACACTCCTTCAATCTCCACATTTCCACCCAAAACAAACTCAAACAGTATACTAACCAATATTGCCCAAAAATCATCATATTGGCAAGTTTCCCAAATCTTGTTAATATCATGACTTCAACAAGTATGCCAATTCATGTCCCCCCAAAATATATATATATATATATATTGAAAGCGCAACCAAACAAGTAGTATTCAGGGAATGGATAAAAGATGGGCAAGGTTGTTTTACAACAAGGCTCGTCATTGCAAACTCACGTTGTGTAAAAAGAAAAATACAAATTTCATTGTACTATTAAATTGCCGTGAAATGGCGGAGGTTAGGTTCATAAAGTTGTTTTTTGTTTGACATGGTCAGTCATCCATACTTGATTTACAATGATACTTACTATACCCTTTCAATGTATGTTTAATGAAAACATTACTACTGTCGGGTAATAACTGTTTGATTAACTAATTTAGTAAAAATAACAGACCCGAACACGAAACAAACGACGTTCGAGTGCAACTCCTTTTGAGCCACACTTTGCGCTATCCGGCCGATTCATCGACTCCTTCATGGCAACCAAACTGTACATGCCAATCCATTAAACTCCTGTGACAACCAAACTGTCACCTCAAGCCAAAAAGGGTGATGTGAGTCTTAGTAAAACTTAACACCCCGGCTTGAACTTTGCCGTTTTAGGCGTAGTTCATCTTTCTGTACATCACTCAAAATGAGTGTTCATCCTCAATCTTGCCTGATCCATCGCTCTGTTGGTCTGAGCTCATGGGTTCTTCTCCTTTGCAATTCACGCTCAGTTCTCCTCCTCAACGCACCCATAGCCGCATCTGGATCTGCTTGATCTTCAACTTGTCTCATCACAAACTGTGAAAAGCTTTCCTCCTCAGGCCATTCTACTTCCGGTGCCTCTGGATGAGGCTCCGGCTCCATTCCACTCTCATTGGAGAAAACTGGTCCACCTTCCTCATGAATACCATCAATTACTGGTCTCGACCAGTAATGCAGTTCCCTCCAATCTTCTTCATTTCCTTCTTCCTCTGGCATGTCCTCTCTTCTCATCTGCAGCGCAAGGACATCTCTCCTCATTTCTCCAATCGCTCTCTCATTTTCCAGCATCTCATGCACATTCTCTCCAACCGCTCCTCCAGATGGAGCCACATTCTCCTTCCCATCCAGAAGAAAATGCAAATGCTAAATATAGTTGCCGCAAAAACTGAAATGCACAAACATGTGTAAAATCCAGTCCACCACCACGTTCTCCATCACCACATTCACGTCGTCAGCTCCACGTCCTCCACCAAACATTTGCGCAATTAATAGCGCCTGAAAACTTCTTCTTGCTAACATTGGAACCAAATTCGCACACTACACGATTCACATGCTCTTTCATCATCTTCTCCAATAAATATGCATCTTTCTCCTCTTCTCCCACGCATATTGCCTCACCTGATTTGCTCAAGTAAACCATTCCAATGAAATGCATCTGGAACTTTCTCCGCTTTGCTGTTAGCCGCTTTGTGTTCAAATCTGCCACATCCAGCTGCGTCCCAATAGGAAAAATCCCAAACTCGCCATTTCTGATTGCCGACTGAATCCAGCAAAGCGAATCTAAAAATGCTTCATCCTTCCTGATCTCTGCAGCCATTGTTGTCCACTGCTGCTGTCTAACCTTAGTTTCAAAATTACCACGCGGTTGCAAATAAATTCCTGCGATGTCGCAGGGCTAGCTGTCGGCTTGCAGAGAGTGGAGACGGCGCAGCAGCAGAGGCGCAGCGGCAGAACAAGCGCGCGGCGCAGAGCAGATGGCCGCGCCGCAGTCTAAGGGCGGCTTCTGTGTGCCCGAGTGCTGCTGCTGCGGGCATGGTCCGCCCGCAGGCTATCAAGGCACACCGGTTCCTATTAGTGTGCACAGCCCGCGTCAGGAAAGGCAAGATCCCCGGAAAGACTCACGGTGATGGTGTTGGTACTCATATGCCGGCAAGGAGCACTACCAAAGACTTTGACATTGTGTGCGGCCAGAGCTTGTCTCACACTGTGGATGACGCAGAGCCACAGGGAAAGCAGCTTGACAAGTGGCTAACTCCTACTTCGGCAGAATCCCAAAAAAAAAAGCCAAGGACGGACGCTGGTTCCCGTATGGTGGCCAAGAGCATGTGACCACAGACTTTTTTTACGTCTCCTGAGCTTGCGCGGCAGTAGGTGGCTTGGGTGGGTGTCGGAGCCGCCTATGGCAAAGCCTAAGGCGTAGCAGTTGGGCATGAGGACCTGTCGAGCAAAAGTGAGCTACTGCAAGCAGAATTGTGTAGCTGGTTGTTGTTGGAGGAGAGTTGGCATGAGCTGAGTGTAATGCTATATGTGTGGCTCGCCAGTTTGTGTTTGGGCGTGCGCGTGGAGAAGCTGAGCTGCCGTGTATTCTCGGCTTCGCGGGCAGTGTGGTTCACCGTCATCTTCTTTCCGGACAGCTGAGGCTGTTGAGGCTTGGCACTCCGGGTGCGCCACCCGGCCGCGCCAAGCCGCTGAACCCCCACCGTCTCCGGGCTCCTTGCTATATGTGCTATATGTGCTATATCTTACACGCCAAGCCGCGGAACCTCCACTTTTCCCGGGTTCTTGCTATATGTGCTATATGTGCTATATCTTACACGCCAAGCCGCTGAACATCCACTCTTCCCCAGCTTCTTGCTATATGTACTGTACGCGCGAAAATCTGTAGTATATGTGCTATATAGGGCCATATAGCACATATAGCACATATAGCAAGGAACCCGGGGAGAGTGGATGTTCAGTGGGTTGCCGTGTGAGATATAGCACATATAGCACATATAGCAAGGAACCCGGGGAGAGTGGATGTTCAGTGGGTTGCCTTGTGAGATATAGCACATATAGCACATATAGCAAGGAACCCGGGGGACTGTGAGGGTTCGGCGGGTTGGCGCTCCGTACGCGCCGCATTTTGCATGGTTTTTGCATGGTTTTTGCAACATGTGGAACAGCTTGTTTTTTGCATTTTTTGCAACATGTGGAACAGCTTGTTTTTTGCATTTTTTGCATGACATGTGGAACAGCTTGTTTTTTGCATGACACGTGGAACAAGCTTGTTTTTTTGCATGACACATGGAACAGCTTGCACGTTTTTTCGCACGGTTTTGCATGTCATGTGCATGTGGTTCAACCCCAAAGTGCCCCCCCCCCCCCCCGTTTTTTCCTGTCAGGCTGCCGTACGTAGGTCGGACATCCTGGTGAACTTCGCGGTAAGAGGCGGGGCGGTGCCGAGCGGGCACCTAACTAAATGTGCCGAGCAGGCACGGTGCCGAGCGGGCACCTAACTAAATGTGCCGAGCAGGCACGGTGCCAAGCGGGCACCTAACTAAATGTGCACGGTGCCGAGCGGGCACCTAACTAAATGTGCCGAGCAGGCACGGTGCCAAGCAGGCACTTGCAGTGCCGAGCAGGCACTTAACTAAACGTGCCGAGCAGGCACAGTGCCGAGCAGGCACAGTGCCGAGCAGGCACTAAGTAGACGTGCCGAGCAGGCACTGTAGGCACCGCGCCAAGCAGGCGCAGCTTTGAAGCAGGCGTGGAGGCCGCTGTGAAAGTTGAGTACTGGCTCGCCCAACGGCCCGCCCAACCTCGTTTG